AAAAAAAAAAACCACCAACGCCGCCCGAGCCGTGACAAACAAGAACGTTGTTACTAGGATTTTGCTCCACTATTCACCAAGTATGCATGATACCTATCTCCTGACTCCTAACTCCGATGCTATCATCAGATTCACCCTCCTTTTACTAGCTAATCAAGCAATCTTGCGACGACCATACCAACCAGACCACTAGCCTACCGCGAACACTGAAGCTATCATTACGAGCGCCCCGCCCTAAAAACTCAAAATCAAGCTCCAGATCGCCCAATTCTGCTACGAACCGAATGAGCGAGACGAGCTGCTGAACAGAGCTTCGATCATCACGACATCAACCCCCATCTGAGAATGGGAGGTTTTAATTCGCGGTCAACAAGGACAACCACTCCACTCCGCCTTTCCCAAATGCACAGCATGAGAGTGAATCTTCTGCTAGAATATGGGAAGATACACTACCAGAGCGTATACCAAGTCAGCACGCAGTTTGGCGCAGTAGATCGACTTTCAGTTCATCCCGCATTGCCAATTTTTCGAGGTAAGTCCTCTCTTTCGTCTGTTACGCTTGCGCCCATTCGCTACCTAGCCCGCGCGCCTATTTGTTCTTATGTCGCCTGTGCCCGAAGCGTCGTGCCTGCCTCTTCCCAGGACAATCGTGCAACGACGACAAAGGGCACTGCGAGGAGGAAGAGGATGAAGCGCCTGAACATGCCTGCCAACGCTCTTATGGCTACAACGATATTGGTGGCCCGCACAACGGTGAGTACGACGAGCACCTCATTCAACGTCCATCCCCTTCGACCCCTCTTCGCTAGCAGGGGGCCGCCTTAGCGAATAGACCATGCGATCCGGTAAGTATCTGACAATATTGTATTGACCTGGACTCTTTCGGTGGCATCGCCATATAACACTCTGACCTATTCCCTGAAGTTGGGCCCCACACCCATCCTTTCCATGTAGTCGTGGAGGAAGTCCCAGTTGACCTCATCCTAGGCTTTCTCGAAATAGAAGAGGAGGATTGCAGCTTTCATTCGTTTCTCATTAATTTTCTTTGCTGCCTCATTCAAGGTCATCACATTGTCAAGAATGTACCTCCGTGGAATGAAGCCTGCTTGATCAATGTGGAAGCATTTGTCCGTGAGGTTTATGATCCTGTTTGCCAACGCTTTTGCCAGAATTTTGTAGGGGTTTGTGAGTAGGGAGATGGGTTTGTAATTCTTTAAGTCTTCTTTGTTCTCTTTCTTGTGGAGTAGTGAGACAGCACTCGTGCTTAGAAATTGGCCTAGTGACCCTACCGTCTTAACCCGAAAACAAGGTACGTACCTTGTATTCAAGTTACCTCCGAAAAAAGGGTTCTAAGAAATCACTGTTAAATTTTTGAATAGAAGGTACCCTCTAATACGAGGGACGTACCTTGTATTTGAATACAAGCTACGTACCTTGTATTTGAATACACGGTACATACCTTGTATTCAAATACAAGGTATGTACCTTGTATTCGAGGTGTGCCTTGTAACTGTCACGTACCTCCTCTCTCTCTCTCTCTCTCTCTCTCTCTCTCTCTCTCTCTCTCTCTCTCTCTCTCTCTGTGTGTGTGTGTGTGTGTGTGTGTGTGTTTGGTGTGCCCTGTCCACACACCCACCTGCTTCCACACACGGGCACTATGCTCTCTCTCTCTCTCTCTCTCTCCTGTCTCTTATACACATCTAGATGTGTATAAGAGACAGGCCCAGCCATTCATTCATTCCTGCGTGAGCCATGCA